CATAAAAAAAACTACGTTAAAAAAAACAATATTTCTAATTCGCAAACGTGACGATTCAAATATTATGCTGACGTATTAATATTAAGCCATGTATAATACTGATTAAATATTGCATTCTAAATTACGAAACGTTGTGTAATAAAATATACGTTACGTAAAGATCACAGACTACGTGAGATGAATTTATGACAATGACTTATAATTAATTAATCATAATATCATCATGATTTTAAAGAATATTGGCAGAGGTGCACAAATGTACAATGTAACACTTCACCAATTATGATACCAATGTTATGAGGCCCGTGTCATTAGGGTACAAGTAACTGTGTACAATAAGTATAATTATGTTTTTGTATCTATTCGTTTATTGATGCATTAATTTTATAGGTAATTTTAGTTTTATATTGTATTGATTTTTGTATTATATTTTATACTAGCGACCCGCCCCGGCTTCGCACGGGTGCAATATATATATACATACAAACCTTCCTTAAGAATCACTCTATCTATTAAAAAAAACCGCATCAAAATCCGTTGCGTAGTTTTAAAGATCTAAGCATACATACGGACATACAGCGAAAGCGACTTTGTTTTATACTATGTATTGATGGGCCAAAGTTGCCTGAAATAAAGGATCAGTAAATAAATAAATAAATAATAAATAATCCCATCAGTCAGTTAGATGGATGCGAATAAATAGATACATACGTACATACATAACCTCATACTTGTCTCCCATGGGGATGGGCAGAGACTGTGGAACACCAACTGCTATGATTCTTTGTAAATACATTTCAATGCAAGTAAATATTAGGTACTCTTTAGTCCTCAAAAAAACTATTTTCCATTATCAATATTCATAATGACGTATGTATATATCTACAATGTACCTTTTGGATAAAATAAATACTGCGTAATTGGATAGTAGACAGGGTAAGAAAATTAAAAATCTGATTAGTCTGTCAGCTAGATAATTAAAAAATATAAGATGCGTATTTTTTTAATTCGTTGTACATACCTATAATAAAATGATACTTAGATATAACGAATCAAAGTTTAGGAGTAGGGGCTCAAGCTTCATTTCTACGTATAAAATGTAGGTACATAGAAGTGACGTCACGCGACATTTCAAATCAATATATCGTCAAAAGTATTCGTTTCTGTAAAAAATAAATAAAAAAATACGTGTGTAATGTTTTAAAATAATCTACCAGACGGACATTAAAATAAAAATTAGTCATCTACCTTATTATATTGATAATACATAATTATTTTTGTTAACATTTCTAGTTCAGAAGCCGATATGCAACAAGGACGGTAAGTTCATCTGAAATAAAATACATAACAAACATAAATATAATTATTTACTACAGAAACAAGTTTCATAACTTGAAACGGTAGGTAATTGAAGAAACTCATGAAATAATCAAAACCTAATCAAGATTCATTAATAACATCACCAAACGAAAATATATCTTTCAAAACAGTTCATAAAATTGTTTTTTATTTGTACAATAAAAATTAATTTATAAGAATCTAGGTATAATTATTTAACAATAACTGATTTCATTCCATTTCCATAATCTTGTTAACATTAAACTGTCAAACACCAAGCGGTCACCGGTGACCGCAACCTATTGTTCTATAATTGTGTCTACAAAACCGGTACTCGACGAGTTAAACTTAAAAACTAATGTTTGTAGACATTATATCATTACAGTAAGATAGAACAGATACATACAGACAGGACAGTACAAAAACTTTCAAATAATAATAATTACGTAATTATTTGACGAGGAACTCGACTAGTTTCAAGCCATACTATAGGCTCATATTCACGAGCAGCATTCTGTAACCCGCGACGCGCCGACTGTCGCGCTGCTACTATGAGCCTCTAGCATGGCTTGAAACTAGATGACCTGGTGATCAAATAATTACATGAATAAGCCGGCAAATATAATAATTTTATTAGTACCTATATCTCACGAAAGAATTATATTAAATTAAATTAGGATAATGCGTCGGATAATTAATTACGCGAAAAGTGAGTGTCATATACGTTATGAGATGTAAATCCATTTCTGTCACTGAGAACTTTAGTTTGTTTTTTGATCAAGCACGCTAATGCCAACCTCATCGTATCTTTGAGGAATAAACTGCATGAATTTGTTCAATTTCACACCTCACAAGTCATTATTTTTTCACGTCTGATACCTGGTATAAAATGACAAATTGTTTTAACTATGCGCAGACCGCAGAAGTAATTACTCATCATTTATTCGCCTACTTTTATTTTTGTACACTTACAGCGTGTTGCTTTTTGGCTTCGTAATTAGTTATTAATAATTTATTTTACATTAAAGTGGATTTTAGCGTGATTTAACAAATTTGAATTAACTTTGAGTGAATATTAGCTGACATAAACATATCAACAACTTTATTATTTGTTTAATTTTCCCCCTGTTTTTTTTTCACGATAATTTGTAAAGCAAGTAAGTGACCTCAACATTATATTAGTAAGAATTGTTGTCCAATTGTGATTGTGTTTCGGTATATCACATAATAGCAAATAATTAGAACGACTGTTAAATAACTATTTAACGCTTTTAACAAGACTTATCATTACTGACACATTTCTTTTCACTCTAATTTTTAGACACGCTGTTAATGAATAAACTACATTGGTTAGTGTGACTGGCAGATCCATAGCTGAATTATCTTATCATAGAACAAAACCATTTATTATAAGTCTAACTAATTAACGTACAAATAAGATATAGTATGCAAATACCTTTATGAATAAAACCAGTGGCAAATTATATGGGGATGTTTGTCATATGTGGTGAATACTGAAACTATAATGTCGAAAGAAAAAAAGGAAGGTTCCAATTTGATGGGGAAGAAATATAAACTGGTGCCCCCCGATGGGGGATGGGGATATTTAGTAGCAGTATCGGCGATTATCAGTTTTGTGAGTAGTTTTGTTTTGTGGTGACTATTTTTAACGTTGGTTTTAAGTCCCCAAGAGTTACGGAAGAGATGTCTCTTGATGGATGACACAATTTTAAGAAGTTCAAGATCAAGATCATGTTTGTTTCTATTTTGCTTTAGCAGTGCCGGTGTTTATCAGTTTTGTGAGTTAATTATTTTTGTGGTGATCATTATTTCATTAATTTTAAGGTCTGAAAGAATTAAAAATGATATATTTAATGCATTTCTGCTAGCCATAGGAATAGTTCAAGATCGTTGCTGATAGTACAATTCCAGATCAAGTTCATGGTTGTTTTCATTTCGCCTTATCGTTCACTATGTTCAATGCTCCATGATTTGTTAAGTAATGAATTGTGATAACATGACGTGCATAGCTTGAATTCGATAGTTGGAAAAAGCAATCTGAAAATTTTGGTATTTTATTTTATTTTGTTTCATCGGTACCTATATGATGTACCGATATTGTGCATTTTCTAATACCTGTAAACGAGCAATTCTTGTATATATGTATCAACGATCTTGGGAACGGCTTCAAAGATTTTTATGACTTCAAACATCATGACTTTTGTCCCTGAAGAGGTATACAGAGGTGCACATTATGTACAATACACTGAATAATGTAACACCAATTTGGGGGGTGAGCACCCCCTATTACATGGGACCCTTGGGTCATGTAATAATAAAAAACATGGGAAATAAAGGCTTGTGTCAAGTTACTAAACAAAAACGATTTAATAAATGTGGAAAATTAAGACGGACAATACATTTTTTTCTGAGAGGTGATCCGTACTCACTTCTCAGAAAAATATTTTGTAGAGAGATTAGAAGAGGATTGAAAAGGATTCCCTAGAAATAAAGACGTTAAATAATTTTCTACGTGATTTTTCAATGCATTCTTTATGCAATACAAGGTACTCCTAGTACATAGTATTTCTAATAGGCAACTAGGCATGCAAATAACAAATGTAAAATTATGTCTGTAACAGTTACACCACATTTTATCGTAGCATGTCTACCAAATACTGCTCTTACAT